TGCCATTTGCAGGGGGAGGAACGATTTTTATTCTGGGTTAGGGGTCCTGGGGTGGGGGTTGTTGAAGTGAGATTCTTGAGGGCAGGTTTGGGGATCTTCCTAGGCCCTGCCTTTGGGCTCCGGGGGACATCAGGCCTGCTGCCCCAGTTTCCCACCCGCCAGGTTAATGGGTTTCCCACCTTTTTCCTGCAGGAACCAGGCTGTGCGCATCCAGGAGGGGCGGTTCCGCCACCCCGGCTGCTACACCTGCGAGGACTGCGGGCTGAACCTGAAGATGCGGGGGCACTTTTGGGTGGGGGATGAGCTGTACTGTGAGAAGCATGCCCGCCAGCGCTACTCGGCGCCCCAAACCCTCAACTCCCAGGCCTGAGCGCCACTGTGGTCTCAGCCTGCCCTCGACTCTGTGGGCACCCTGAGCCAGGGCCGCGCCTGCAGCAAGTGGGCATGAAGAGCGACGGTGGGTGGTGGGGCCCCTTCCTCCTCACTGGCTGGGGCCAGAGGCAGGGTCCTGTCTCGGGCGGTGGGTGAGGGCAGCCTGGCCCTCCAAGGCCTTTGCTAGCTACTCTTGCTTCCCCTGCTGGACAAGTTCTGCACCAGCCTGGGGTGGACGTTGCGTCAGGGCCTCTCTGAGCGAGAGGGGCTACACCCCTTGGACCGTGGAGATTAGGAGAAGGGTGGGGCCAGAGGCTGACGGTATTCACTGTGTAAAGTTTCTGACATGTGAGCGCCATAAATATACATACGTGGACAAAATAAAGTAGCTGCCCCTCTTTCCTGCCCTGGCTTGTCCCTACCAGTGCGTGGAGAGGCTTTATTTACCTATTTCCCCCTCTTATTTTCCCTTCCCTCAACCCCCTTGGTCCTTTTTGCTGAGGATCCGGCTCTTCCTGGACCCTGGTAAAGATGCCTGTTTTACTGGGATGATCCCTGATGCTCTACAGGAATGAGTCTCTCACCTCAAGCCCTGGGAGGGGCAGGGACACCAGAGGGCAGGCAGCAGAGGGACGGAGGCGGCCCCAGACTTGCTCCCTCTGCCCAGGCCCATCGAAGTGACTGCCTCTTGCTCCACCACCACTGGCTCTCTGTCCCCCCTGCTCTGCCTGGCGTGGGTGCTGCCCCGCCCACTGACTCGCCCAGAGGGTGGGCAGAGGAGGGGCCCTAGCCAAAGTCCCGCCTGCATTCTCTGAGGCTATCTGTACCCGAGGGAGGAATAGGATCACCAAAAGCACTTGGGGACAAGGCTGTAGGTAGGCCTGGTCTGGAGGGGCAACCCAGCAGAGCTCCGACTTCGAGGGACCATCACCCACCAAAGGGGCAGGTGCCTGCCCCTTTCCCTGGGAGACCCCACTGGCTTCACTGGTGGTTGATTTGAGAAAAAAATCTCATTCCTATATATATATATATTCCATAGTTGGTGCCAGCACATCTGCCCTGGGGGTATATGTTTGAGCTAAGGTGGGGGCAGTTGTCCTTGCCAGATTTTTGGCTTCAGTCAACTGCCCCCCACCTGTTCTAATCCGTTTCAGAAAGGTGCACAGTGCTGCTGGGTGCTCCAGACTCACCCTGCCCCAAGTCAGGGATGGGCAGCAGCCTCAGCTTTATTTTCACGGTAAAGATCAAAGACAGGCTTCAGAGAGTGCTTTGTGCTATCTGGCTCGTTTTGGCAGGAATCTTGGCAGAGACTGTGTTGCCTCCTCAGGCACCTGTTGATATAATTTACACCTTGATATAATTGTCTCACCTTTTGCCTGGATGGCTGCCTTTATTTTCGTAGAAAAGATCAAGGCTTTCTTGTGGCTCAGTCAGTCTGGCCAGAGCGTCTGGTCTCTAGGGGGATAGCCACCGTGGCGCCACCTAGTGTCAGGTGTAGCCTGTGGCGGGGAGAAGGCTTACCAAAGTGGAATTGGCTCCTCTGGAAATGTCTGGGTTTGGGAATGCAGAAAGATATAGCACGTTTCTTGCTTTCCTGAACATAATAGTCAAGTGGCAGCAACTGAGCCTGCGTGAATGAAATAACACTCTGTGACAGCGAGTGCTTAAGAGCTAATGTGAAACACCCAAGCGCAGGGGCCCTCCGTGTGGAAGGATGAATAGGACTGGGACAAGTGGAGGAGGGAAATGCCCAGTGAGGGGGCAGGTGAAAGTGGAACGCTCAGTTTAGGGCAGTCGCTGAAGGGGGTGCTGAGATAAGTTTACAAAGGAAGATTGGAGCCTTGAATGCTGTGGGAAAGGGTTTGAACTTCACCTGGAGGCTCTTGGGAGAGTCGGAACATTTTGAGCAGTGCAGTGACAAGCTGGAAGTGACAGAGTGGGTTGGAATGTTAATGCGGCGAGACCCCATCCATAGCAAACCACTTGGGACCAGCGGTGTTCTCAGGAGCAGAGAAACACAAACAGGGAGTGCAGACCCTTGCGAGGTGGGCCTGCCTGCCAGTGGCTGAATGCCTTTTGAAGGCTGGGTGGGTTCAAGCTCAAATCTACCTCCCCAGTTGTGGCAGCCAGCTCCCCTACCAGGGGCCCTGCACGTTTCAATTCCAGAGCTTTCCACAGCCACACAGCCAGCGGAAGCTGGGGAAAAACTGCTTTGGAAGATGGAGTTATTAGCTAAACCCATTTGTCAGTACAAAAGCCTGGGGCCGACCCAGACAGTGGGCGAGGGAGACCACCCGGTCATGCAACTGCAGTTTGAACAGTGCCGTGCGCCCTCCCTCTGCCTGTGGGATAATGACTTCAGAAATGGTGACAGATTCAAGTTAGCAGAGGCCCGAGAGAGAATGTGACACTGCCCCCTTCAGCTGGAGGTGAGAAACGGACTCTCCCGAAGTTCCACAGCTGGATAAGTAAAGCGCCAGGGAGGCTAAAGTGTGTGAGTCCAATGGTCACAGTTGGGTGGGCACTGCTGTTGTCACCCTCTCTATACATGAAGAAACGAGGGCAGGAAGGGTGAGGGACTGGTCTGGGGGGGGAGGGGCCCTCTGAAAGAACCTGGAGCCAGACTCCTGGGTTTCTGACTTGTCTGCGGTGGGGGTGCTCTGGCCCCTCCAGCACCAGAGGGAGCCCCCTGGGCCCCCAGGAAGGGCACCGCGGCTCCCAGCCATCTCTAGTCTGGCAGGAGCTGCCCCCAGGTTCTCGGCTGTGCCGGTGGTCCCGTGGGGAGATGATTGTCCTGCAGTTGTCAGGTGAAGGAGCGCCGCAGAGGTGGTCCTGTTGGGGCACACTGCCAGGCAGGGCAGCAAAAGGCAGATGGGAGGGAAGCGTGTGCCCCACCCCCAAGGTATCCCCATCACCATGAGGGGGCTGGCATATCTGCCTGGGGGTGGGGTGGAAAGGCATGGCCTGGAGGGGAGTGTGCATTGGGGGTGTGTGTGGAGGGGGGCTCTTCTTTTGAGGCCGCACAAAGCCTTGTGCTGAGACATTGCATTCCTGCTGGCTGGCTTCCTGTTCAGATGCATTCCTGCCCAGAGTCACCGAGGAGACCGCTGCTTGGAATTTGGCCCCACATTCTCCAAATTCAGGGCGAGATCTGGCAAAGTTTCCCTCTCTTCCCTCCCCACCTTCTCACTTTGGAGGGAGGAAGCCACTTGATTGGCCGGCCCTCCTACCCTCCCACCGCGGCAGGGCTGGCGCGGGGTCTGGCGGGGCCTGGGGGTTTGGTACGCACATCCCATTTGAATTGCATAAAGCAGTTCCTGCCAGGCCCAGTGTTCTCTGCTTCCCTCTCTGTATGTGGGAAAGAGGAGTGGGGAGCGGATGCTGCCCAGGATAGGCCAGGAGGAGTCAACCTGAAGACCCAGGGCTACTGGGCAAGGGCTTGCTTAGCTTGGGAATCAGGTATTAAGAAGAGCTGGCAATTCAAGCACCTGGCTATCATTCTTCCCTTCCTGGGCTTGGCTGTAGGCCTGTTTCATGACCTTAAAAAGTTAGCATCTTGTAGTTTGTGGTTCTCTGATGAAGGCTCCTGCACAGAGTGTTTGAGAAAGGGTCCGAAGGAGCTGGGAGCAGAAGGGGTGGGCAGACATCCGTCCCTCCCAGCAAACAGCCACTTCCTCCCAGGCGCCAACTCTGGTCCACCCAGCCCCTCCCCCCAGGGTCAGGTGCCGGTCTGCACGTCCACCAGCTCCCTGGTCTGCTTTCAGGGTATTTGGGGCCTGCTGGGGTTTTTCTAGCCAGGTCACCTTCCTCAGGAGGTTGAGGTTTCCTTAGAGGCCACCAGCCATCTGATCACCAGGCTGTGTCTCTTTCAGCAGCTGCCTGGACCCCCGGCCCCTCTCGGGCCCTGGGACGAGGGTCGCGGGGTGGAGTGGGTAAGAGAGGCCGGAGTGGGGAAAGGGAAGCTGTTCCGGTCGCGCTTGCCCCACCTGCAGGCCGCTCCTGCCTCCCTGGCTCACGTCTTCCCCAGTCCTGCAGTCCCACCCGGCCCCCGGCTGTAGGGTCCCGGGGTGAGGAAGATGGAGGGGAAGAGGAGGGATTCAGAGCTCAGAGCCGAGGTGTTCTGGAGCCGTCGGAAAGGATTTCCCTCTGGGCAGAGATCATTCCCCCTTTTCTCGCGCCAGTTTCTGAGGGGCGGAGTGACGTGCCCCAGGCACGCAGCTGGGGGCGCAGGGACGGACGTCTGCGCCCCGGTCAGCGGCCTTCCCACGGCCAGCACGTGGGGCTCCATTTCCTTCCGCGCTCTGGTCCAGTCCCCGCCCGTCGGCTTCATCTGGGCAGCAGGAAGGCAGACTCCGCGTGTGAACCGGACAGAGTGACCCTGCGCAACCAGACCAAAAGCGACCTCAGGCCGCGGTGGGCTGCCCCAGCCTGAAGCGCAGAGGATCAGCGTCCGAAGGAGAGCGGATCAGGGTCCTTCTCTGCGCCCAGCCCGCACTGGGGAGCCGCCCGTGCACACGTGGCCCCGCGTGCAGCCCCCCACCCCCACCCCGTTCCCTTCACACCTGCGACCCCCCGTCCGGCCTCGCTCCACCCCCTGCTGGGAGTGGCCCGGGCCGCGCCCAGGGACGGGGTCGGGACGCAGCAGCGAAGCCGCGGGCGCAGCAGCAGCGAGGGGACGCGGGCGAGGAGCGCTCCGTCCCGCCGCAGCGGTCGGGGCCGAGCGGGGCCATGCTGGGCCGGCGGCGCGTCTTCGCAGTGGAGCCACTGGGCGGCCGGGGTGAGTCGCCCACCCCCAGAAGCGCAGAGCTTCCTGCCCTAGCGCCCACTCTGGAGCGCTGACCCCCGCCAGCGCCCCGCCCCACCGCACCCCACCCCGCACACCCGCTCGGGGTGCCCGCCCTCGCCGCGGCCGCCTCGTGGGCTCCCTTTGGACGGGTGGAGTGACTGTATCTCGCACACGAAACCCGCGGAGTCTGGGCGTTAATTCAGTCACCACCTCCATCCCACTTCCTCCGGGGCCACTTCCCTCTACCTCCCGATCTGGATCTTTCTCCGCCGGCCCCGGCCCCTACCCCTGCCCGCAGTTCCGAAAGCCCCCTCCGCGGCGGCGGACCTCTCTCTCTCCACAGGCACCCCAGGGTGGGCTTCGTGGCCCAGTTCCTTGCCCAGGGGCCAGGCTTGGCACCTGGCTCCCTGCGTGGCCGGCTGGGATGTGTGGGTCGTCCTCCACCCTTTCCAGCCTCTGCTTCTCAGTCGTCAGTGACACTCAGGCACCCGGAGGGTAGGAGGGCCTGGCACCCAGGTGATAGTTAATAGGTGACAAGGACACGTGTCCCCCTGCCCCTACCCCAGTTCCCTTTCTTCTTCTTTTTTTTTTTTTTGTCTTCAACTCGCCACAAAATCTTCACTGTTTCTCACTTAAAAGAACAAAAACCCAAAATGGTTGTAGCTGTTGTTATTTTTAATTACCCCCCCACGAGGGACTTCACCTAGCACCCTGATGCCTGTTTGCACGTCTCTGTGTCGCTCCCCCTTCCTGAGGTGGGGTGCCCAGTCATACTCCCCTTTGGGAGCGGGGGAAGAGGCTCCAGCGCCCACACTTAGGACTTGGTCAGAGGCAGACCCCAGGGGCAGGAGCTCAAGGGCTCCCAGGAGGAAAGCAGCCCCTCAGAGGAAGACAGGCCATCCAGGAGCTGCTGAAGAGGAAATTCTTTCCAGCGGCCCACCCCACGGCCAGTTCCAGGGGTGTGATCACTAACAATTACTGCTGTAAAGACAGCCCTGCAAACAGGGCCAGGCAGGGCTGTGGCTGGCCAGGCTCCGCCTGGCCAGGACACTCCTCCCCAGGGAATGTTTCAGCTGCCAGGAATGCTGGGGGTGCAGGGGCCGCCTCCCCAGCCTGATTCCCACTGTCTTTGCAGATGGAGCTGGCGAGAACCTGGCCCAGGGCTGTGTTGTGCCTGGAGTCACCAGCACCTACAGACGGATCCTGGATGCCTCTCAGGGGTGCTCACTGGGCTCATGGAAGGGGGACGGCGAGGTGAAGGGTCTCCGGGGTCAGGTGCCACTTCTCAAACTGGCCTCCCGGGACTCCGGAGTGGAGATGGCAGTTGGGGACAGCTCTCAGACCACCTCGCCGGGCCTTTCTGAAGAAGCTCTGGACTTTGAGCCTGTGGGGAGCCCAGAGCCTCTGGCCCTGCCCATGGAGCCTCCTGCCCACCTGGGCCGGCTCCTGGCCAGCCAGAAGCTAGAGCAGGTGCTGGATCGGTCCAGCCAGCTCCCAACTTCGCCTGTCAGCTTGTCACAACACCGCCACTCCTCAAAGATGACAAGGAAGCCTCAGCACGAAGTGCCCCTTTTTGGAGCAAGAGACCAGCAGGCCACCAGTGCAGAAACTGACCAAGAGGCAGGCCCAGAAGAAACAGAGGTGGTGAGTGCCAACTCTCTGCTGGGTGAAGAGTGGGTGGACATGGTCCTCTCACACTGGGGCTGGTGGGGCCCCCCAACTGTTCTCCCCAGAGCTCTCTCTTGGGGTGGGGCATTCCTGTCCCTAATTGATGGGTGTGTCACAGCTTCTTGTCTCACTCCACTCCCGGCCATGGGGAGGTGGGCTGGTAGGAGGTTTGCCTGGTGCCGTGGGTGGCTGGGCATTGGGAGGCCAGCTGGGTGCATGGTCCTCCTCTCCCTGCCTGTTCTGTCCCCATCTGATGGCCACCAAGGGTGGGAGTCTGGTTGAGTTCAAGTCTCCCCTCCCTCACTATGTCCCACAGGTGAGGGGCGTGGGGCCTGAAGCCTGGGCCTGCCTCCCAGGACAGGGTCTTCGCTACCTGGAACACCTGTGCATAGTGCTGGAGCAGATGGTGAGGCTCCAGCAACTCCACCTGCAGCTGCAGACTCAGAGGCTCCCTGGGGTGAGTGAGCCATGTGGTGCTGGTGGTGGGGGACAGGTGAGTTGAGGAGGCTCAGGAGGGTGGGGCCCCTGGCACCAGGGGCCAGCCTCGTCTCTGCTCAGGCCCCAAGTGCCCTTCTCTTCTGCACACAGGACCCTGCTGAGGAAGAGCCGACCCTGGTGCCTCTGCCTCCACCTTCTCACACCCCAGGCAGTGGGGTACACGGGTCCTGTGAGTTGCTCAGCCAGACAGAGGAGACAGGTGTGGGGCGACTGAGGCTCCCTCCCAGTCCTGCTGGTCTGGGGCCCCAGGCAGACCCCCTAAGCCCCGGGCTTGACTGGTGTGTTCCTGTTCTTGGACCTGGGTCACCGGATTCTCTCTCTGAAGGAGCAAAAAGACCTTCACTCCCGAAGGGGGCGATGCCCAGTGCCCAGCCTTCTGGGCTGTCAGAGGCCCCCACAGGCCCAGCTCATGACTTTCCATGCTCCCGGAGTCACAAGGTGGGTGATGGGTGTGTGCAGGATGGGTGACAAGTGGAGGTGAGGATGGGTGGCATGTGTGGATACAGTAAAGGCTGGAAACCGGGAAAAGGAGGGAATTCCTGTTTGGAGCAGGTGACCTCTCCTGGATGTGGTGACAGCTGTCTGTGGCAGTATGAGACGTGCTGTGGGGTGGGGCTCTGTGGTGACTCCCTCATTCTCTGCTCAGCGGGATCTCTCCCACTGGAACAAGGTCAAGGTCCTTCTCAATGGGATTCGCTGGAGGAGCTCTCAACACCCTGGGCCCCCCACCCCTCCTCATGGCCCTGACTCCAGGTGAGTGCCATGGCTCAGTCCGGGTGAGGGCGTGGAGGAGCCTGATGAACCGGGACGCTGAGGTTGTACTGCTGGTTCTCGTGGTTCCTCTGCGATCTGAGTGGCATAGTCTCGGAGGGGCTGCTGGAAGAAACAAAGTAGTTCAGGCTTCTCACTGGTAGATGAGGAGGCTGGGGACTGGGCTGGGGAGGGAGGTCACCTTCCCGAGGCCACATGGGGCATCAGTGGCAGAGCCAGGACCGGAATGTGGGAAATCTCCTCCTGCCAGCCTTGCAAATCCTCGACCCTCAAAGCCGAAACTTAGGCCACCTTCCCGGTGTGCTGGGCAAGCAAGGTGGGGGCACAGACAAAAGGGGCCACAGTGGACAATGGGGGGCAGTTGCACTGAATAATTCTCCAGGGAAAGGAAGTACCATGCCAGCTCCCAACCCACTCTGGGGCTACTGCCACCTTCGTTTCCTTTTCCTCACCTAAGGCCACCTTGCCTTTTCCGCAGGATTGGGTCAAGGGACTTCCCTGAAAGACCTCCATGTCGCCCCCTCCAGAAGACATTTATGCCATCGGTAGTGGTGAAGAAGCAACGAGCAAAAAACCTTTCTGTCTGCTGAGACCTGATGCAGGTGTGCCCCTGTGTGGAGGGGTGTGCAGTGAAGTCTTCTTCTTTGCCCTGTCGCTGTTTTGGGGCACTGCCAGAGAAAACTGCCAACGCTTGCCCTTCTCTCTGAGGTGAGGGCTGAGTCCTTCTCTTCTGAGCAGCTTGGCAGGGGAGCCTGGGTTCCCCGAGAGACCCCAAGGTGTGGCAGCCCCTGGGCACCTCCTCAGCTGCCAGAAATCCCTGAGCCTAGACAATGGGAACCAATTCCTCAGGCACCCCTGGAGCGTGTTTGGCATGGTGATGTGTCGGGGCCCAACCTGCTGCAGATATGTCTGTATGCAAAACGATACATGCACAGATCTCTGTGAGACTGTCGCAGTTGTGAACTGACTGGATCCAGCCAGCTCTCCTGAATCACACTCAAAAAGCTGGTCTTCTGGGTGAGGTAGCTGCAGAGGGAGGGAACTGACTGACCTTCATGCCTCAGTGCACAGTTGCTGGTCCTGGAGCCCTGCTTTTCTCCTCATCGCTGCGTGGGAAGCCCCAGCACAGAGAAGGGCACTGCCTCGGCTGTCTCCACATTTAGTCTAGTCCATGGAGCTGTGGCTCTGAAGACTGCACCAGGAATGGGAGGGTTCAGAAAAACATGGGGACTAGCAGAGTAACCAGCAGGGTCTATTCCTACCTGCCTTGCTCCTTACTAGCCTTAACACACCAGAGCTGAAACTGGAGGCCCATACTAGCTTTTAGACCTGGACAAAGTCCCTTAACTTTTTTGAGCTGTAGCTTCCCACTTAATCTCCCAAATGGTATCATGATGCCTGACCTACCTACCTCACCAGCTTGTTATGAGGATTAAATGAGATTAAACTGTCTCAAAGTGCTTTGTGAATGTTACATGACTAGGGAAGGGGAGGATTTGGATGTTGGAGGGTCACTGGACTGGAGGGATGGTGGGAAGGTCTCCGGGGAAAGGGGGGACTGGGATTGGTAATGGGGACTAAAATGGCCAGTGATTAGCAGCAAGACTTGGAGTGAGTCATTTCACCAAGGCCTCTTAGGTTTCATACCTGAGAGGACACTAATTCCTGACCTGCTGCGACAGCAGCACTGTCGTGAAAACTAAAGGAAAAGTCCATAAGAACTCTGTAAATTTTTAGCATAACTGTTATCCTAAATATTGTGGTAGTTCGTCTTATTACACCTGTTAGGTTCCTAGCGTTTTTTAATTGAGAAAAGGGAAAAGCTTAGTCTGTGGGCACCCAGAGGATGGAGGGGTGGTGTGTGTGTATGGTGCCCTCAGTAGAAGGGCAGGACTGGGGTCATTGGCTTGAGGCAGACACACCCCACCTCCCAGAAATGGCCATCTGTCCGCAGGGTTCGGTTCTCCTGCAACTGCAGTCTCGGAGTCCGCCCGGAAGAGGCAAGACTGGGCCCTTCCTCAGGTTTGGGGCCGCACTCTAGCTGTCTTTGGACAAAGAACCAATTCTCTGAAGCCCATTTTTCTAATGGGACACTAAAGCGAGGACACCACCCAGGCGCGGCTTCCGAACGCGCGTCGGAAGGGGAAGGCGTACTTCCGCTCCGGGTCGGAGCGGGCCGGCGGGCCGGCGTGGGGGAGGGGGAGGTCGGTGCCGCGGGGGAGGGACTATATCCGGGAGAGTGGCAGCTTCCGACTAGTGGTCGCGTTTCCGGAGAGGCGTTTCCGGTGGCGGCGGCAGCAGCGGCAGTGGTGGTTCCGGGTGTCTTTGTCCCCCCGGTGTCGCGGCCCTGGCCCGCAGGTGGGTTGGCCGGACCCCCGCCGCCCTTCTGCCCCGTCGCTCCTAGCCAACCGAGGGGCCGCGGGGGCCGGGCAGCAACGATGCACGGGCCGCGGAAGGGGCCGAGCCCCCCTTCGGACTGCAAGCCCCGTCTCCCTGGCAACGGCCTCGGCCCCGGCCCCGGGGGCGGACGGGCGGGCAGGCGGGCGGGAGGAGGAGAAGGAGGAGGAGGAGAAGGAGGAGGAACCCCGCGCCTCCTTCCTCCCACGGCGGCCTGACCCCGGCCCTGGCGATTCGGCACCGGCGGCTGCTGAGGCAGGAGCGAAGGGCCAGGCAGCGCGGGAACCGCAGGGCGGGCGCACAGCCGGATTCGTCGTCCGCCTCGGCTGCCTTGCCACGGGCCGGGGGACAACGGACCAGCTTCCGGGGAGAAGGCCCTCACAGTCCCCTCTCCGGCGGCAGCCTCCTCCATTTTTCTGGGCCTTGCGAGAGCTGTTTGGCGGATGTGTTGGAATGAATGAATGTCTCCGGGCCCCTTCCAGCCTCCGGACCCCTCACGCATCCGGCGGTGGCGCGGCGAGAGGGGCACTCATTGTCTGGAGACCTGGGTGTGAGCCCCAGTTTTGTCATTGACTGGTTGTGTGTGCCCTGGGGCGAGTCGCAGTGTAAGCTCCACTTGGCTCTTCTTGCACGTAGCCGGGCTGTGTCCCCGCAGCTGGGTTACTGGTGAGGGCCGGCTGGAGCCGTGCGATTGCTTCAGTTCTCCCTCCTCTTTACACTCCCTTCATCACCTCCATTCATTCTCCCTACTCTCCTCAGGATACTCAGTTCCTGTTTTGGGGTTGATGGAAAATTCCCCTATGAGCTGTTAACTTGTTTCTTTCCTGATTGAAGGTTTTTTTCCCCCAAGACTCTGAAAGAGGACTGCATTCCCAATGTCCCAATTTAAGCGCCAGCGGATCAACCCACTTCCAGGGGGACGCAACTTCTCAGGTGACCGTTACCTTTCTCCTCGCTGGGGCTCGGGGCTCGTACTGAAACAGCATGTGCTCTGGAGTTAGTCTGGAGAAAATCTGGCTGTCGGGTTTCCCTGGTGGAGTGCGGTTTGCTGCTGATGTCGCTGAGGAAAACAGGAGCTGGCCTCGAGGTCGACAGCGAAACCCTGTGAAGGGTTGTTGCTTGGGCCCACTTTGCCCATTGGGCTTGCCATGTCATCTAGGTCAGTGATTCTCAGCCAGGTGTGCGATGATAGGTATTTTTAAACCATGCAGTACCTGCCTTTTCCCCTTAGACTGCCGAATTAAAACAATGACAACAGTCAACATAGCAATAGGCGTCTGGTGTGAATGAATCAAAATTATACCTATTTCCTTGATTAGAGCAGCAAAAAAACTTTATTTCTTGACGTGCTGCAGAATTTTAGTCATGAATTTGTGTGCCATGAGGTGAAGAAGGTTGAAAGTCGCTGCTCTCTTTGACTATAGTGCTTAAGATGGTAGGTGCCGTCCCTGGAGATTGCTTCTCTGTCCGTAGGCACAGCTTCCACATCTCTTCTGGGCCCTCCTCCTGGTTTGCTCACCCCCCCTGTGGCCACAGACCTGTCCCAGAATGCCAGGCACCTTCAGGTAGGTTGGACATCCTTACTAGTGAGTTCCAGCCTTGAGAACCGCCCCAGCATGCATGGGTGCTTGATACTTTCATTTTTGCATCACAGTGTTCATCCTTGACAATCCTGCCCTGGGCCAGCATGGAGGTGACTAGGCACCTCTGACTGGGGAGTGCCAAGTGCTGGCTCTAGGGAAATCTCTTGGTGCTTCTTGGAACAAAGGAACTGGAAATCCTAGAAGCAGCTTGTGATGCGAGAATCAGCATAATGCCCGCCGTCCCCCGCCTTCTTTCCATTAGAATCTTGAGGCAGTTCTCTGAATGAGCTGGGGCAGTGGGCTGCACAGAGATGAGATGCTAACGGCAGAACATGGACAAATGCTCCCTGTTTTAAACGACACCTTCTCTTACAGGGTGGGGAGAAGCAGCGGGTCTTCACTGGCATTGTTACCAGCTTGCACGACTATTTTGGAGTGGTGGATGAAGAGGTCTTTTTTCAGCTGAGGTAGGTTTGAGGCTGGTCTCCTTTTGAAAATGCTTGCTGGATTCAGTCTGTCACCATGCTTTGGGGCTCCTCTAATGTTATTGCTTTGCTGTTTCATGCAAGGGGTGAGAAATCTTGATAGGCAGGGCTCATCAGGGCAGGCAGGGGGGGGCGTGGTCGGGCCTCCTGACTGGGCTTCCTGGCTTGTGTGCTGGCAGTGTGGTGAAGGGCCGGCTGCCCCAGCTGGGTGAGAAGGTGCTGGTGAAGGCTGCATACAACCCAGGCCAGGCAGTGCCTTGGAATGCTGTCAAGGTGCAAACACTCTCCAACCAGGTATACACCTCTCCTTGTCACATGTGTTGGAAAGGGGGGGGAGGGAAGCCCCTGTTTCTGAAAGCTGGGCAAGAGCTGTACTTTATTAATGGGGTGGGCTGCAACTGTCCAAGGTAGTGAGCACATCAGCCATGGGATGTCTTGATTTTCTGGTTACTGTCCTGCAGCCCCTACTGAAGTCCCCAGCACCTCCCCTTCTACATGTGGCAGCTCTGGGCCAGAAGCAAGGGATTCTGGGAGCTCAGCCCCAATTGATCTTCCAGCCTCACCGAATTCCCCCCCTCTTTCCTCAGAAGCGTGAGTACCAGTGGCATGGGTGTTGGGTTGTGGCTTTATGGGGTACTCTGCATGGATGAATGAACTCGTAACTGTCAGGTGGCTGCTCTATGAATAGAAGCGGGTATTTCTGTGCACTGAAAGAAAGGGACAGGGAAGTTCCATGTTTAGTTTTTGATTCACCAGTCATTTTCTCTCTGCAGCTCTGAGTCTTTTCCAAACATCCCATACACTTCATCTGAGCCACCTGAACAGATTTCCTGCTCGGGGCCCTCATGGCCGATTGGATCAGGGCCGAAGGTAAGAGGGTGTTCAACCAGAAAAATGTTTTCCTTTCCTTATCTGCTTCGAGGAGTACTGTCCCTCTCTTTGCCACTTGTTGACATAACATTCTCTTCCCTGCAGCTAGCTTTAGTCCCTTACCCTGAAATAAGCAGGCACATAGTGAGGTCTATAAAAATAATGGAACTTTATCAACTGGTTCAGCCCAGAGCTGCCAGGGATTTGGTAGTTCATCTTTCAAAATAATCTTGAAATTTTCTGAATACATATTTTTCCCTTTTATTTCTAGTCACTGAAGTTGAGATACTAGAAATCAAGACTATCAAGGAAATAGCAGTTATCGGAAAAAGTAACAAATTCTACAAATAGAATATTTTATTTGTTAGTATGAAACATTTCTTTGTATACACTGTATACATCAGTGTGGGGTTAGCATGTTGCACCCCACCCAGAAGTCTAGGCCTATACCTTGGACACGGAGATAATTCCTTAGTCCTGTGTGGAGCCGGCACGGTGGGTCTGGGCCTTGGGGCCTCCGAGGCCAACCTGTATCACCTGTGAGTGACAGGGACTGCTGGGAGCACGCTGCCTCTTCTCTCTGGCTCATGTGTTCTTCATCCTGCCTTACTCTCTCCCTAAAGGGTTTTGTTTATGTCCCTAGGAGTTAAGCTGCAGACTAGTTGGCTTAAGACTCATTTTGTTTTTATCTGTTGGTCTTATTTTAACTTTAAAAAAATATTTATTTTTTAGAGAGAGGAGAAAGGGAGAGAAACATCAATGTGTGCTTGCCTCTCACCCACCCCCCACTGGGGGCCCGACCTGGTCCACAACCCAGGCATGTTCCCTGACTGGGAATTGAACTGGTGACCCATTGGTTCACAGGGCGGCGCTCAATCCACTGAGCCACACCAGCCAGGGCCTATGTTAACTTTTTATTGAGGAAAATTTTTAAGTCTAAGCAAAGTCGACAGAAAAGGATGAATTCTCATACACCCATTACCCAGCTTCAAGTGTCTGCATCTGCCATCTTCTGCCTCTGCCTCTGTCTACTCCCTGCCTCGTACATGATTTTTTTAATGTAAAACTTTTTTAAAGGTAAAATTTATACAGGTTGAAATGCACAAATCTTAACTGGACAGTTTT